TATATATACATGAAATATATATTGGTTACTTCCCTAACAAAGGTTGTCTTGTCTCTATGAAAGTTTAACAAAATCAATCAATTACAAAAGGCCAAAGAATGCAAACACTTGTTCACAGGAATAGGAAACAAGTGGTTTTACAACACAAGTTTCTTCAAACCTTGAACCAAAAGCAAATTTAAACACACAATTCTTTGGATGAACCTATTGAGATGGTGATGACACTCTTTTGGCTCTAAGAAAATGCAAAAGTGGGACTGGCAAGACTAGAAAATCCCAGGGGGAATGCTTGAAGTAGAAACAAATACAAAGACTCGTTATGCTTCACAATAACTATTTCTTTGGTGTATTTCTGTGAAATCAAGCCCCTCGCCCTATTAATAAGATAAAGCAAACGGGCTGCTCGCTAAGGCTTCGTCTATGGTTAAATTACACATACACAAACGTATAAATTCTCAAGAGTCCGAAGAATCTATAGCTGATAAACTGGAATCTTATGTTTATTGAAGTTTCGACAACAAACTTAGAAATACACTCCTTGAGATGGCAAAGAAACATGCGTTGAAACGTCTACATTTTATCATCCCCAAACTCTGGTAAAAATTGTCTTGTTATCACATAAATACAAACAAAAACAAAAAATCAGACCTTGTAGAACCTATCTGTGCAGACATCAAAGGCGCATAAAGATTCCCATGACTTCAGACTGTGTCTGCATTCGTCTTCAACGACTCATCCTGAGACATTTTTCATACGAACAAAGACACAGGTGAAACTAGGACCGAGTTTGCATGAGAAGTGTAGGCTAATCACGATGTAAAGCCATATACAAATGGTGATCCAGAAGCAAACAAAAAACATCATCTTTAGCTAAAAGGCAATGAAGGATCATCAACTACACACCTTAGTACAGACGTAGATGTAATGGACATCAGGGCTCTTGCCAATTGCAGATTCCACTGAACTTCCGTCAACATCTAGAGGAATAGGCTTTGTCAGTTCCCATTTTGGGGTTTCCAATGGTTGTTCGGTTAAACTTTTGTCTGCAAAAAAAAAATAGCAAATATTTGTTAGAGAGAGAACAAGGAAATTTTGTCCGGAAATATTAGTATTCTCAAATATGGAATTAGCTAATGGTTTCTGAATTGCAGCTGACCTATCACATGGAGTTTCGTTGTCCACGAGCATGATTCTTTAAGCAGCCGAATGCGGTAATTTGGAGCTCCATATGTAATCTGTAGAGAATCCACTTTAAAGTCAAATGTGCATTAAACAAACCGAAACATAATCATAAACACGAAATGAAGATTTTACCAGAATATAGACTCCTTTATCCTTGAGGACCCTATAGTTTTTCATCAACTGCTTCATTATAGGTGAAATAATCAAGAAAGAAATATAGAAGCAGAAACCATTCAACATTAATGCCATAGATACAGTACCTCCAAACCTCCTCAAGCATTTGCAATGAGTATTGCCTCGAATTGCTCCCACACTACACATTAAAAAAGGATAACAC